CCTCTCAATATCTCTGTAAAGCTGAATTCCAGTTTGTTTGTCACTGCTCCTAGCTTCGTTGTCATTAGCGGTGCTGCAATAGATTCTTCTGGTGCACATAAACAGCGAGTCAGATTTGCGACATCTGACAACTGAGGGGCCACTGAAATTGACGCCCGTCCTCCGCCTCCGTGAGGTGGGGCGGCAGTCCAAGCATACAGAAGAATAGGTAGCCCGCATACGCGGCGTCCATACACAACTCGCCATTCCAAAACCCCCCAATTAGTTATCCACGTTTTCACCTCAGCGGCTTGAAATAACAGATCGGCCGGCCTTGTCCAAGGATCAACCAACTAACTGGGTAACGGATTTATAGCCCGTCACAGTTGCAAGGCGACAGGAACACTCATGCGACCGGTACGTACCAATGCCGCTGCCACAATGCCGACGTCACGGTTGCACGAAGCCGGACTTGCGAAGCGTGTGTGAATAAATGAAATTTTGTTTTTTGGCGTTTCCTTTTTCTGGTTCAAGTACTTTGGCCAAAAAATTTAAGGAACACTCTCACATCTTCTTGGAATTTTTATTTATTTTTTTTTTTTTTTACTGCAGGCGAAGTTTAAAGCTCTCACTTGAGTGGGTACTTGCCAAGTACTTATCTAGTCAATTATTATGAGTAGCATGTAATAATACAAAATTTTTTTTAACAATTTGTCAAAATAGTCTCTAATATTTTTTGAAAAAAAATTTAGTTTTTCACATTTAAAATCAACCAAAAGAATCCTGAGTTAAAAAAATTTTTGGGCATTTGGTTCCAAAACTCATTTTCTCATTTTTTTTTTCCGATCAAAAATGCACGCCTATCTCATGTGTCTATAGTTTCAAGGACAAAAAGGGGACAAAATTCATTTCCCTTCACCAAAAATAAAATAAAAAATACAAGATTTTCCCCCTTCCTTTAAATTTCATCTATCAAATTCTTTACGCATGCGTTCTATTGCTCATGAAAAATGGGATCATCATTTTGACCAACTAGCTATGAAAGCTTTTACTCGAAGGTATGCTGTTGATTTAGTAAATATTGTCTATTTTGAAGTTATTCAATGGAGATGAACTCTTATATTAGACCTCTTATTGTATTATTTCTTTCTGCCATGTTCTTAATAATGTGTTGGTTACACCACCTATAACCGAAGTGAAAATCAAATGTTCCATTTTGGCCAGAAAATTGAAAAAAAAAATAATGTGTCGGGAAAAACTAGGCAAAATTTTTATATTCGAGTTTCAAATGTGAGGGACTAAAAAAATTTATTCAAAAAATGTGAGGGATTAAAATGACAAGTTTTTGAGTTTTTTTAAAATGGTGTGACTGCTAACTTTATATATCTATATATATATATATATGTATATAAAGATTAACCTAAATAAATTAACCTAAAAAGATAAATGAAATAACTGGCTGCTTTATGTATAAAAAGATTAACATAGAAAACTCCATTGTGGTTTCACTGAATATCAACTAGTCGTCCTATGATCTTGAAATATTCACGCAATCCCCTCATTGTTCAAACTAAAATGAAATATTTTCTTTCCTTTTCTTTTTCTATTTTTTATTCTTTTACTTTCTTCTTTCATTACCACACAACCACCACTATTACACCATTACCACCTCACCATCTTTCACTTGCCACTACCACGACATGCCGCTACCCTTTCTTCTTCTTTCTTTCCCTCGGCTATCACCACTATCTCTCTAATGGGTTTCTAACGTTTAGTGTACATATTTTGAACAAATTACATGTTCAATCATGCATTTTTAAATTTCCTTCTAATCATGTTGTCCGATTTTTTATTATTCAATGTTAGAATCCAAATGCAAAATACACGACTGTTGAGATATCAAATATGCAACAATAATAAATAAGTCACAAATATAAAAGACAAGCGACACATAATATTTAACGTGGTTTCATTACTGAATCTACGTCTACAAAAAGAAAATTCATTCTTTATTATGAAAGAAAACTCTGTATATGAATACAACTTTAATTCTTATTTAACTCTTGTATACCATCTCTTATCTTTCAATAATTTTCTTTCACACCCTATGTATAATGTTACATGTCACCTTAGTGTACTATTGTGTGTTTTTTTATAGTATGTCAATCTACCTATTTATAGAGAATATTATTTAATCAAAAATCAAATAACAACATGAAATCAATGCTAATTTCTAAACTTATACGTAATAGAAAATAACTTCGAATCCTAAACAAAATAGAAAATTTCTTGGTTTCTATTTCAAATGACTAAAACTAATTAGAAAACTAGTTATTTCTACACTAAGAGATCTGATTATAAGAAATTAAATTAATTTCCTAACAAATCCTTACGCTGGTGAATATTTTTTTAACAACTATTTGTTTTCAACTACCAAATAATATGGTACCGATCTACACATCCGAATCAATACAGTTCTAACACCAAATTGATTCGATCGGCAAATGAATATGTGTATTACTTCCAATCCAACCTCTAGTTGACTTGCGAGAAAATGCATCAATTCACCGTTTTCCTTTGTAGGATTTCTTCTCACCATCACTTGTAATTGGGATCATCTTTTGTGAATCCTATTTCTAACCATTGAAGCAACAAAGTGGTAAAATCATCATATTTCTTTTCATTTTCAGGACTGTCTCGCCATGGGTGATTTTCAAAACTGTACCTAAAGCGAAAAAACTTGTATCTCTCAAAGTCTTCTGATGTATGAAAATTAGATCTTTTTATTTTTTTTAGAACACATGCCACACCACCTAACGAATATATTCCGAATTTAATAACCATTCGGAATGAAGTATCAACTTATGGAGTTGTGAGAATATCTTCATCGGTTGATGTTCAAATCACCTATCTAGATTCACCACCAAGTATCTCTATACTTTTTGATTTTCCACCATTCACTTTCAATGTTTCTTGTCAAACTCTTGAAACGAGAATACCATCCATTAAATTGTTTAATTGGTAACCGTCACCAATCCACTTGATCTTAATAGTCAACTAAAATCGAATCATGAACCTCGTTCTGATGCCAGTTTACTGAGATTTAAGTGCTTGTGAGTAATCCAATCTCGCAACCAAGTTTTGATACCACTGTTAGGGGAGAAACACCTCGAGAGAACCCATCAAAGGGGTCAATATAAGTCAGGAACCCAATTTTGATTCAAAAGTTTAAATAATTAGGTTTCGGACCTTTATATACCTATTAACTGCTATTTCTACGTCTTTTGAACCAATGTAGGATATAGTTTTTTACTCATGAACCTAACATTCAATTCTTGTTCTTGTTGTGTTTGATTTTGCTATTACAATTTTTATGCAGTCACAATTAATGTTTAGATGTAAGCTCTTTTTTTTCGCATGGAGAAATATTTTTCTACTCCAAGTAGGGATCTTATGTAATATTTTTCTTTTTCTATTTAACCTTTTGAAGTGATAGGCTACTGTATATTCTGGAAGTTAATAATTTATAGAGAAGGAAGATATTTAATGAGATATACAATAAAATGTAAATAAACTTTTGAAAGTATTCCATTGGCTAAAATCTTTGTTTTCCTTCTATCTTCTCATTTATGTTAACTTTTTTTTGGTTCAATCATTTATGAGTCTATACTTGTATAGGTGGAGTACTCACAGGCGTAGTCAAGTATTTTAACCCATTTTTAGATGCTTACATGATTGGCTAGAAGTACGTTTAAAAGCTCTAACAATTAACTGTGGGAAATGTTATTGAATTAACTTTTTATGTACTAATAATGTTGTGATTTTTTTACATTAATAGTTATAGATGTATGTCACATATGTATGATTTGAAATTCAAATTTAAATTTATATTATGTGGCATGATTTAAACCTATTAGCGTAACAAAAGTTTGTTCATTGACAACGTATAGAAAAGTTACTCAATGTTATTTGGCTTCATATAGTTACAAAAGTCACTGACAACGTATATAAAAGTTACTCCCAATTTTGTGATTTATACTCCCACTACCATTTTAATCATATAGTTTTTATTTATCAAACTATATGATAAAACAAATTATGAAAGTGCAAATAACAAAAAAATGGAGTGCAAATAACACTTTCTTTAATTATAACAGAAAAGTACAAACACAATTAATTATAATGGACAAGTGCAAGCTTTTTTAAAAGCTGTAAATGAAATTTTGTGGTGATATTTGCAATTAATGCATGAAAAATTCACACTTTTTGACTTTTTTTCCATCACTAATAAAAAGGTACTCAATTTTTTCTAATATAAATCCAATACTTGAACAAACAATAAAAACATATCATAATGTTTATATAATGAAAATTAAGAGGTTATCATTTCAAAATCTTTTAAGAGAAAAGTAGGCTAAATCCAAAGTTGCAATGTGCCTCATAATGGCACCAAAAGGCAAAAACTTGTTCGTTGCGCGGGCTTCGTTGTGTAGTTTTACCGTTATTTTTTATCTGCAAGTCAATTGTATGTTCTTTTTTTTAAAAAAATAAAAGCAAAGCAACTAATTGTTTATGGTTGCTTTATCTGTCAAGAAACCCATTGCGTTAAGCAAAGGGTTTGGCAAGGTCTACATTGTATATGGAAGTAGAAAGAAGGCCATCGTCACATTGACGCAAAGGGTGATTGCATCAAAGTTCTCTTATCAGTTGTCTCAAGTATCGGATTATTGTGCCCCTCATGGCAACTTGATTGGTCTCAGTAAGTCTCCTTAGAAGCTGATATCCAGTGCTCGCAAGAATTCGAGTCATGTGATTATCGTGTTTGGGGAATGGGCCTCTCCTTTCGGGTCGGAGTGGGATTAGTCGGATCCCATAAGAATTGATTCGGACACCTACTCCGTCTAGAAAAAAAAGAAAAAAAGTATCGGATTATTGTACGATGATTTGACAATGATTTGTTTGCATAATTAGCACACCACTCCTGAAAATTGATTAAATGCACCAGGTCTTCTTCTTCTAGGTGCACGTCAGGAGTCACGGCCTCGATGATGGACTAAAAGGAACAATACTGCATTAACTCCTGATTGCTGCTTTGGTATTTGCGTATTTGGGGTGAGTAGACTCCACCACCTGCTGAACATTATTAGCATTCAGCCGTAGTTTCAACTTTTCTACTAGCCTTTTGGGTGGAGGGCGGAGAGCGAGGTCTGGACGCGGACCAATACACCATGGCCCTCTATTCGTTGTTCACCAGCCGCGCCAGCCCCCGACGAGTCCTACGTCGACAGCAACGGGGCTTGCTTTCGCCCTTAGTGTGTGTGGTGGTCATCGTTCTCACTGCGGTAGTGATGGTGGTACTATTTCTACTGGGGACGACGAAGCTGCTGAGGTACAGTTCCTTGATCCAGAAACCCATAGTCTTAGTGCGGGAAGAGATGGTGGGTCGCAAGAATCACACAGCTGTACTAAAGACGTTGCCAGATTTCGAAACCCACAAAGTGAGAGCAGGAGCGGCGGAGAGTAATTGGAAACCGGTCACACCCCCCACCGCTAGTCTTCCGCATCTAGCTCCTTTACCATCAGCATCCCACCAATTACCGTTACAGTTACAGATGATGAGAAACAGCAGCAGCAACAATATCGTCATGGGTCCTTATCACAACTGGGAACTTTTCTCCGCTGACTATCAGGAAATGCTGCTTAATCTCAAGATTTTCGTGTACCCGGATGTCCACTCATCATCATCAAAAGCAAACAGAAACTCCTCCTCCCAGGCCCCTAATTATGACAGCGTTTTCCTTCCCCTAGCAAACCCCACTAACCCCAAGCTTGGGAATTATTACAGTGAGCACGCGTTTAAGGTGGCTCTTCTTCACAGTTCCCTGGTCACCGACCGTCCGGAGGAGGCCAATTTCTTCTTTATGCCTTTCTCCATAAATGCCATGCGTAATCACCCTCTCCTGCATTCCGCCTCATCCATTTCAGATTTCATTGCCCAATACACGACCAGAATTAGCTCCGACTTCACATTTTGGAACGCCTCCGACGGTGCTGATCACTTCTATGTCTGCTGTCATTCCATTGGTCGGGATGCCGCTTCCAAGCACCTTGCTTTACATAACAACGCTATTCAAGTCACTTGTTCCTCCAGCTACTTTCAGAGGCTCTACATTACGCACAAAGACATCGGATTGCCCCAAGTTTGGCCTCGCCGACGTGACGACGACCACCGACCGTTCAATCCTCCAGCCGCTAGGTACGCGTGTTCTACCTGCATTCTTGACTGTGCATGTTGGTTGTTGAAAAACACAGTTGAAGTGGGACATCTTTTGCATAAAAACACCGTCCTTTCCCTTTTGCAACCTCGGAAGAAATTGATGTGGAGACACACAGAAATAGATCTTTTACCGTGGGACTCCATAGCATTTGGAGAAAGGGGAACGTCTTGGATAATCATAGGTCAATGAGACCAGGTTGCCACGAAAAAATTTTCATACATCTTCCTGAGAAATGAAAGATTTAGTAGCCATGGAAAGGTAGCTGCGGGTGCGCGTTAGAACACGAACGCCAATCAATTTTTAACCTTTTTTAGGGTCCTTAATCAATTAGGTAGGTTCCCTAGTGATGATGCCAATAAGAATATGATTTGGACATGGAAGACCTGATTTCTTCTTTGTTGGTCTGATTATTATGCATTTTCTTACCGCAGAAATGTGCTCGTCTTTTTCGCCGGGCGAGCGCAGAATTCACTTGTCCGTCAGAAGTTACTGGATCTATGGAGCAACGATACATCTTTTGCGATATCCTCTGGAGGTCTATCCCTTCCTTACCAGGAAGGGTTCAAAAGAAGCAAATACTGCCTCCATGTTAAAGGCTACGAGGTGAACACTGCTAGAGTCAGTGACGCGATACATTATGGATGCATTCCAGTTATAATCTCCAACTACTACGACCTTCCATTTGCTAGCGTCTTAGACTGGAGCAAGTTCTCAATTATCGTGAGTGAAAAAGATATTCATGTTTTGAAGGAAATATTGTTGTCAGTATCCAAGGAAACGTACTTAAAGTTGTACAAAAATCTAAGCATGGTTAGGAGACATTTCGCCTGGCACAGCACTCCCAGAAGTTATGATGCCTTCTACATGACAGCTTACCAACTGTGGTTAAAGAGAGGTTTACAAAGAATAGCTTAGCGTAAGAGGTGATGAAAATACACCTGTCCATCATGGAAGAAATAAACATACCAATTTGCATTATCAAATGCCAAATATTTTTTCTGCAGCTCAAAGTCTCTGTCACACGTATCCTGGCTTCGCCATTACTTTCACACGGGAATAGGCTTGAATGAATCTCAATTTCAAATACCTTGGCTTGATTTTTTTCTTTGGAAGAAGTATTAAAACAGATGAGAATCCATTGATTTATTTTTGCACGACAATGTATTGTAGGACGATTAGTTTCATCAACACACATATAAACAACGCACGTGTCGTCCAAGAAACTCTTTTACATCTTAATTCTACCAATATGTTCCGAAGATTGTTGCATTACCATAACAAAATAAGAAGGTTGGCACAAGTTTGAACCTTGAGGAACAACATTTCACATCAAATGGCATGATTAGCAGGCTGTGAATGGTAGCCTCGGCGCCTGAGCTGTGACTGAGGATTTGGTTGCTGCAAGAATATCCTTGTAGGATCATTTGGGTCAACATACCTGCACGCAGCACAATGTTAAAAGAAAAAAAAGGGCTCGTTCCTCAAATAAGCAAGAAACTAGAAAATACTTACGCATGTCGCATCATTTCATCAACAGGCGTCTGTGATGCTTGCAAGGGATCCAACTGAGGACCTGCTCTTGATGTCTCTTGATTATATTGTCTCACAGAATGAATTAGGTTAAAGAATAAGGGCACAAAAGTTCCGCAACCACCTTCCTTGAATAAAATCTTGAATGAATGAGTAGAGAATAGAGCCCTTTGCTCGTTTTCAGGTACAACCTGGAAGTGCAGAAATGGGTCACTGCCTACTAGAAGACCACATACCAATGATTCAATATCTGATGCACTTACAGGGTCGACAGATCCAGATATATTGTTGCAGAAGAATATTGGTTGGTTAAATTTTTCACCGCAAATGTAAAGCTGCAGAAGCAAGTCATTTCCAGGTCACTAAGATTTAATTTAAATTATGCACATCATATAAATTCTAGAACAATATATTTGTAGCAAACTCAGATTACCAGAAAACTGCCAGCTAAAGGAAGAAGAAGATGAAAGGAATGACAATACTATACCCAAATCTTGTTCTAAGAAAAATGCGTAGTTTAATGTCTACCTCTAAAGAAGCAATGTATGTTCAGTAAAAGCAGTGGAGTGTTGCCGAAGACAGCATTGGAAACAAATACATGTGTGCGTGAAATGCGTAAAAAAGGATTCATTTGCATTCGGAATTTCACAGCATAAGGCACTTCTTAAAAAATTGTAATTTGACATGTAGGGTTGGTTGATGCATGGTTGATGTTACATAACTCTCAAAATTTTTGACTTCAGTTAGATAAGATGCAATACCTAAAACTGATGATTTTTACTGCGATAACGTGCAAGAAAGTAAATTGCCCTTGAACTAAGGGTTCCACATGGCCCCCTTGAAGTGCAGTCATCATGTCAATTTACCCCAAAAGTATCTAGCAAAATTTCTGGCCAAATGTTAGTTGGGGACTCAAATTTTGGTGCATTGCAGGCTTATCTAAAATTGATAGGACTGCATCACCATTTATTTCTCTGTTACTATTTCAGTACCGTGAAGGTTCTCCGCTAAAATCCTTCTTCCAAGTAGGAATCCAGTTCTTGGCCACCCTCCACTGGCTCTGTTACCTCTCCGACCTTCCAAAACTCTGCTGGTGCCAAGTCAATACTCACCCAAACCCCACTGCACATAACCCACTCGAACGGCAAAAGCCTTCCCTTCTGCTCACCCCCACAAAAGAAGAAAAAAAAGAAAGAACCAAAAAAAGATCACCCAGGGAACCACCAAACCCTACCTAGTCTGCCATCATGGCATTCTCTAACTGCACTATTCCCACTTCAATGCTTGTAGCACACCAGCTGTCCATTCCTCTTCATCTGGAACCACGCGGCCGTACCCTGACCACCAAATCACTTCCTCACCTCACTGCAAATATCATGCTTAGCCCCAAATCACACATGTTCTATTCCCCTCTAGTGCGACAGCCGACATATCCATTGCCAGCAATCTGATCCCTGTCTGCTTTGAGTGAAGTTTGAAGTTTATTTGTAGATCCATTTTTGTAAATTCAGGTAAATGATTTATTTTGTTGTGGAGACTGGTCCTGATTTAACACATTTTCTTGTGTAAGTTCAGTGATAGAATAAAGTAGAACTATCAGCAGCTCCATTAATGGAGTTAAAAATCGAGAACTACATTTAAGTCATCCGACACAAATCAAAACCTGAAGGTGTAAATTGACACCATTAGTTCAAGGAGGCTTATTAACAGAATGAGGCAGCCTTGAACTGGATCCTTAGTTCAAGGAGGTTTATTGTATTGTAACATATAGTCTAACGACTTGCGGTAGGATATACAAACTTGTTGATCTAATCTCCGATACGACATGGCGTGATGACAACATCCATATCTGTCCACAAGAATTATTCACAATGGATCATTTCAAGAGACTCAGCCACTCGTTTCCAGTTAATACTAGACCCACAAATAGTTTGCAAATTCTTATAATCTGATAACCCTTATTGTGTGCATAAAGGACAGTTAGAAAAAGCCTTTTTTTGCTTTGGAACCCAGTGCACCTGTGCCACAAGGAACATACACAAACAAATGCACCATGTAGAAACATAGACTACCCACATTTGGAAAGCAGCCAGTAGACTATCCAGTCTCTTTAACCTATGCATCATCTTCAAAGAAAATTCACCTTATCTTCCAGCAATGATTCGGTCAGAAAGAACACTAGCCTAGAGCACCATAAAGAGCATTTTCTATATTTCACCATTTTTCCAGGAACCGGGCTGGAATTTAGAGTTTTTATTCAACTATTATAACCATAGTTTTCTGGTAAACCAAGTAGGGCTTGGTCCCATGCATTTGACACAAAATAATTATTACATCAGGAAAATGTGAAGTCACATCTGGCTTTAGACCGGACAAGTTAAATGCACAAGCCCCTTGCGGTAGGTATAGTTACTTTATTGACTACAAAACGCTCGAGACTATAAGATAATGAAGAACAACGCGTGGAACAAAACGTGCAAAGCCAACTTACCAGGGGCAGATCAAAAGCAGCAAAGTCTCCAACAGGTTTATTTGCAACAAAAACCATACGTATATTGGACAAGTAAATTATGCCCTTTGCTTTGACATGTCCTCCTTGAGCTCTGAGAGACAAAAAGAGTTAATTTTCTACCAAAAAAAATCACCATTAATGTAAAAGAAAAATCAGGAATGAAATTGGTGTACAAGCATAGAATCTTCCTTAACTGTAGGATTACCGTCAAACAAATACTATATATTAGCAATGCATTGATTTAAAACCAGTTGCAGGAAAGGATCATAAGTGCTCTGTGGCTATGGTCAAATGATAGGAATGAAGCCTTTAGAGTGAAGAATACACTGATTCGGCAGAAAGTAAGGTCCCAGATTTTAAATTATTCTGCGGATGTGTTGGCCCATCTTGTAATTAGCCGTGTTTACATCTGAAGGAATACCACTTTGTGATATTTGTTGTTATATAATATGTTTTCAAAACTTAAGAAAAGACTATCATTGTTGACAGTATCGGCTTGAATATGTGTACATCAAACTATCAGGATAATCCTTTATACACAGAAATATAAAACGCACCCGCTTTAATAATTCTGAATAGCGTTTCTCAGGCTAAAGTGTGTCATCCTGTTTTTAAAACAATGTGTGCTTAACATGCCAAGGATATACATCTGCAATCCATAGTTACAATTACCTAATATGCATAAGATGTGGAGGTACATACGAGGATAAAAACTTCAAAGGCCCTCCCCTAGTTTGATATGTCTCTATTTAAACAACCCATGCCCACAAACAAAAAGACACCCATTGAAGAACGAAAACCTGTCTGCGTTCTGAAATCGGGTATAAATACAAGAATTATCTGCGCAGGATAAATACATCACCTGTCTTTCCATGATTACTACTAAACCGAACAGGAAAAGATGCCGAGAAGGGAAAAACAATTCGGTATTTTCAATGTAAGAGCCGAAACAAATTGGATAATAGGGCGTGTCTTACCACAGAGGAACCAATTCGAATTGGTCCCATAACTTTAATAAGGAAAATCTGAGGAGGAACGGTAATTGCTTACCCGGGGATCTTGTCAACCTCGAAATCCACGCCATCTCTGGCTAATACGAACATCTCGTTCACAAACGGCACGGGCATCCCGTTAGGAAACACCTGAGGATTCAGAGCCATCTTCGAATAATGAACAACGATCTCAGCGCAGCTTATTATTATTATTATTTTTTGTAGCGTATGAATCAGAAGATTGGCTTGATATAATTTGATTTAAAAAGATCAAACAATGAGATAGCAATAGAAGCTATGACGTCATAATTAGGAATTCCTTTCCGCAATTAAAGGAAAGTTACATCCGTCATTCTATTTCTTTTCTTTAATTCTAAATATTGAATTTATTGTGCTATTTTTGCGTAAACGTTCGACATTCTTCCGGACAAATTTTATAGAAAATCGTAGTTTGCACCCATAGACTTTGGGACAATTACAACATAATGCCCTCAACTTTGGAAAAATGCAAAATTACCCAAACACAATTGATAAATTTAGGCCTTGTTTGGACAACAACTTTTCAAAGAACACATTTTTCAATCAGTTTTTTATCTCACATATATGAAATTGCTATCGCCATTTTTGTACAAAAAATCCAAAAAAATGCAATTTAAACAAGGGTTTAGGGTGGTTATCTTGATAATAATATAAACTCCTTCCTTTGGCTTTATAACTCAATTAGCAATAAGAGTGGGAACTTCTGACATGACACGATTGTATATGGCTCGAAAATTAGTAGGAGTAGAAAAATTTTTAAAAAAAATCAAGAAAATTAAAAATGGAAAAAGAAAGGCTTAGGAAAAAAAATTTTTAATGCCAAAAAAAAAAAGGTATGGTATAAATGATTGATGGTTGAACGTAGAGATGATGACAATGAAAAAGACATTAGTATTCATAGCGTGAAGGAGGGAAGATTGGAGAAGATGACCGTTTG